GTGGCAACGGTGGAAGAGGAGGACTCCTGAAGCTGTCGACGAGATCCATGGCGGCTGGATTCATGTCCCTCAGCTTGATGTCCCGTGGCTGCACGCCAGTGGAGAAGAAGCTCCTGGCCGCGGTGTTAGGCACGGTAAAAACGCGGGCAAGCCACGAATAACACTCACCCGCTCCCTTCCTGTTGCTGCCGCCACCACAACTTTGGATAGCGGTGTCGCTGCCGTTGCTGCTGCCGCCGCAGCCGCCTGCCATGGTGCGTCCCCTCTCTCCCTCCCTTTCTCTCTACCTCTCTTTCTCTCTCTCTCTCTCTCTCTCTCTCTCTCTCTTTCTTTACCTCTACCTCCCTCTCTCGCTCTCTCGCTCTCTCCCTCTCTCCCTCTCTCTATATCCGTAAAAGGCTTCGCCCCCTGCCGCTGGCCCCGTTTTCTCGGAAAATGGGGAATGCAAGAGCTACTAACTCTCAACAGCTCCCTTCCTGCTGCTGCCGCCACCACAACTTTGGATAGCGGTGTCGCTGCCGTTGCTGCTGCCGCCGCAGCCGCCTGCGACGTTGTGCCCCCTCAATATACATAGATATATATATATATATATATATAGATATAGCTATAGATATAGTTATAGATATAGATATAGATATTGATATACCTCGCTCTCTCTCTCTCTCTCTCTCTATCTCTATGACCCTCCCCCTCCCTCTATATCAGTAAAGGCTTCGCCTCCTGCCGCCGGCCCCATCTCTCAGAGAATGGGGTATGCAAAAACTACGCTGTGAGGCCTGGGCGCCATCGTGCGTACTCCCGCCAGCCCTCTGGGCGCAGGTGGTCCAACGATGTCTTTCTGCCCTCTTCCAAGAGCCCCTGTTTCCTTCGGGAAAGGGCTTACCACGGTTCCCTATCAATACAGACCCCCTTGCCCTGGCGACCAGCGGCCAACCAGGAACCATGCGTACTGGGCACCCCCCCACCACCCCGATCAAAAAACAATATGAAACGCACTCTGCCTCCACATTTGAAGCATGCGCGGCCAACCAGATGCGTTCCCCCTCACCATCCCTGTCAAAAGACAACAAACAGCACACTTCGGAGGCCCGAGAGCATTTTGAATTGTTTGGGACAGAGACGGCGGGGGTGTCAGCATATTGCCTGCTGCGCCCAGGGCTACAATCCCAAACCGAAAACTCTACAAAAGGCAACTCGCGGCCAAATCTGGATCGTGCGCTGCCACCCCACGATCACTCCCAAGTGGTTTTCGACAGGGGCGGCGGGGGTGGGGGCGCATGGCCTGCTGTGCGCAGGCCCACCAGACACAATGATGCTTCGACCCCTCGCGCCGTTTGACATCGAGGCGCATTAACATTCGGCTTGCGACGGAATTCAAGCAGGTGCCTTCGCTTCTTGCCTGCGAGCGCATGCTCCTACAGAACGCGCTCCCGGCTGCCCCCGCGCTTGGGCAAAATCGATTCCCCCCTCCTCCGCCTCCTCGAGACTCGGGCCGCGGCGACGAGAGCCCCCCACGACGAGCAGCGGCACCAGGCTCGCCCCCTCCCCCGACTCCCCGAGAAGCCGGCCGCGGCGACGAGGGCTCTCCAGGACGAGCATCGGCCACGCGCAGAGGGGGGTAGGAGGAGGGGGGAAGGCTTCCTAGAAGCACCCCTGCTTCTTAGAAGGCGCTGGACTTCTCTATAGACGTAAGACCGGGGCCTTCTAAGAAGCAGGGGTGTTTCTAAGAAGCCTTCCCCCCTCCTCCTACCCCCCTTTGCGCGCCGCTGAGAGCAGGGTCGGCCCACAGCAATTTTAGCTCTGGCGACGCACAAACACACATTGAAAGCACAGCGGGAGCGTTCGCAGGCGTGTAGGAGCCCCGCCGCTACCCGGGAGGCCCGCCGCCGATCCGGGGGCTCTCAGCAATCGCCTCGGGGGCATTCGCGGGGAAGGCCTCCGCGATTGTCCTGGCAGGGTCGGCACCGAGATCCCCGGCCGTGCCAGGGCTGCGACCCACCGCCGCGAAGACAGGCGGCCGAGCAGCGACGCCAGGATCTCTCCCCCTCCCCGGCCCTCTTCCGAAAAGTCCCCCGACCCCTCGGGAGTCGTTTGGCCGTGGCGGCGAGGGCTCTCCGGGGCGAGCAGCTCCGCCCCCTCCCCCGACTTGCCCGGCGCTCCCATTTGGGGTCGGGGATAAGAGCTCGGAGCACCGCTCCAGCCAGGGTTGCCACTGACCGCCGCGCTGACGGGCGCTGACTGACCGCGCTGCCACTCCTCGGAGTTGCCCGGCGCTCCCATCTGGGGTCGGGGATGAAAGCTCGGAGCACCGTTCCAGCCGGGGTTGCGACGGACCGCCGCGCTGACACGGACGCCGTCCGCGAGGCCCCCCGGGGGCAGCAGCGCAGCCTGGGCGGGCCACGCCGCGTCCCCAGGGCTCAGGCGCGCGAGAGGATCTCGAGCCCCGCGGCTCGCGCCCACCCTCTCCAGGGGGGGCACCCTTTTTTTTGTTCTCTCTCTCTCTCTCTCTCGCCACCACCAGGTCTGGACACGCGGCCAACTGCCGCGCTGGCTGGTGGAAAAAAGTCCGCCAGCGCCCGCGGCTCGGCAACGCGGGGTGGCCACACTGAACCCCAACAAGCCCGGGGATGGCTCGGGGCGGAGTCCGCCGGCATCGGGGGGAACGGGATTGCCGATGGGCCTGTCTGCCAGGTTCCCCTGTGGGCAGCGGCTGGACGCGCCGCGCCCCAGCGGCAGGGGCGGGCGAGAGGAGCACGACCCACGCCGCTCGCCACGCCTCACCAGGGTCGCGACTAGCTGTCGCGCACGCCGGCGGAAAAGGGCCCGCCAGGGCCCGCGGACCAGCGACGCGCCCTGGGCCAGCCACGCCGCGCCCCGCCAGGTCCGGGGAAGGGGCGGCCACGAGCCCGCCGGCGTCAGGGGGCGCGGGATCGCCGAGAGCGGCCGGAACTCGCGAGCCCCGCGGGGCCCCCGACACACCGCCACCCCCTCCGGGAGGCGCCCCTCCGTCTCAGAAACGGGCGCGCGACTAACTGCCGCGCAGGCCGGGGGAACGAGAACCGCCGGAACCCGCGGTCGGCAACGGGGCCCGGTCGGCCGCGCCGCGCTCCACCAGATCCGGGGGAGGGGCAGAGACAGGTCCGCCAACGTCCACGGGGGACACGACTGCCGATAGGCCTGCCCTCCAGGCCCCCGCCGGGATCACGACCCGCCGCCGCCCCGCGAAGGCGCCCATCATCCTCTGCAGCGCCCGTTCCAGGCATGCGCCTAACTGCCGCGCCAGCTGGTCGACAAGGGTCACGCGGGACCCCCGACGATCAGGCGCAGTCTGGGTTGACTGACCCGAGTTCAGAGGGGCCAGGAGCGAGGCGCGGAGGCCAATCGCCTCGCCCAGGTGCGGCAGGACCGTCGTGCTCATCAGGGCGCTGTAGCAGATGGCGCTGGGCCCCAGCTTCACTTCCAGCATTTCGCTGAGCATAACCAGGGCTAGCTGCCGCTGCCCCTGCCCGTTCGCATCGCGCGCGCAGATCGGGACGCTGCAGCGGATGGTGGCGGGCTCCAGCTTCACACCCAGCATCCCTCTGAGCAGCGCCGAGGCCGGCTGCCGCCGCCTCTGCCCGCGCGCGCTGATCGGGGCGCCGTGGCAGACGATGGCGGGCTCCAGCTTCACACCCAGCGCCTCGCCGAGCAGCGCCAGGGCCGGCCGCCGCTGCCCCCGCCCGTTTGCCGCACGCGCTGGTCGGAGCGCTGTTGCAGATGATGGCGGGCTCCAGCTCCACCCCCAACATCTCGCTGAGCAGCGCCAGGGCGGGCCACCACCGCCCACGCCCTCTCTGCTCGCACGCGCTGCTCGGGGTGCCGTGGCAGAGGATGGCGGGCTCCAGCTTCGCCCCCAGCATCCTGCTGAGCAGCGCCAGGGCCGGCTTCTCTCGCACGCGCTGGTCGGGGCGCTGCAGCAGAGGATGGCGCGGGCCCCAGCATAGCGCCCAGCATCTTGCTGAGCAGCGCCGGGGCCGGCTGCCGCCGCCCCTGCCCGCGCGCCCCGCACGCGCTGGTCGGGGCGCTGTAGCGCATGGTGGCGGGCTCCGGCTTCACTCCCAGCATCTCGCTGAGCAACGTTAGGGTCGGCCACCACCGCCCCGGCCCGCCCTTCTCGCGCGCGCTGATCGGGACGCCGCAGCAGATGATGGCGGGCCCAGGCTCCACACCCATCCTCTGACTGAGCAGCGCCAAAGCCAACGGCGAATGATGCGCGTGCTGATGAGGGCGTGCTGATGAGGGCGCTGCAGCAAATGATGGCTGGATCGGCACGCGCTGGTCGGGGCGCTGTAGCACATGATGATGGGTTCCAGCTTCACACCCAGCATCCCGCTGAGCAGAGCCCGGGCCAGCTGCTGCTGCCCCTGATCTGTCCGATCGGCCGGCAGCACCGGCCAGCGCCAGGCCAGTCGCCCCGCCTGGTACCGTCACCGCCGCGGCGGCGGCAGCCGCCGCGCGGGAGAAGGCGGCCTCCGCAGCCCACAGGCCGGCGGCAGCGGCCGCGGCGGCGGCCTCGGCGGCAGCGCCCGCGGCACCCGAGGCGCGGGCACCCAGGGCGCCGGCCCCCCGCGCGCGCGGCGCCAGCGGCGCCGGCGGCGGCGGCGGCGCGCATCGGGTGCCGCCGCCTCCGCCGGAGTCTCCGCGGCTGGGCCGCGCCGCCCCGGCCAGGCAGGCCAACCTTGAGCCCCGACCGCTTGAGCCGCGGGGCTTGAGCCAGCGGCTCGAGCCAGAGGCTTGAGCCAGCGGCTTGAGCCAGAGGCTTGAGCCAGAGGCTTCAATCGCAGCTTCACACAGGAAGGCAGAGACTCCAGCTCTGCGGAATACCCATGGGTAAGCGGGCAGTGCCACCGCATGTCGCTCGCAAAAGGGCACTGAAGACGCACCACGACAGCCCAGGCGCTGACAACCACGACGACCACGACCATGGCGACGGCGACGGCGACGGCGACGGCGCCGCGGTCCCGGGGTCTCCAGGGAGGCCGAACCGCTCGGCTGCCTCGATGAACTTCCTGAAGCGGAACTCCATCGCGCCGTCCGGGTCCTGCCGCGAGTCGGGGAGAGCCATCGGAGATCCTCGAACGTCCTCGGAAGAGACTTTCGGGGGAGATTGCCCTGCCATGTCGAAAAGTGTCCAGAATTTTCGCGGACATTCCAGAAGACTCCCAGACGCTGTCGGAGGATAGGGGGGAGGAGCACCACGCCAGCCGGGAAGGTCATCCAGCTCATATGTTTCAGGGGAAGCGGCCCTCAAAGCATAAAAAGTTCAAGTCCCCAAACGAAGCATGCCTCATCAAACACCCACAGAAAGTAGGGGGGAAGTGGACGAGGAGGAGCAGCAGCAGCAGCAGCAGCAGCAGCGGCAGCAAGAGGAGCAGCCAGACTGAGGAGGGAGGAGGATGAGCGAAGGGGGGCAGGCGGGAGAGTCGATGAAAAAAATAGATATAGGAGAAGGGAAGGGTCGGCGACCGTCGATTCTCGGGCAGACGCTAATATTTGGGGATCCGTGGGTCTGGCACGCGGGCGCCAAATCCGCGGATCCGGGGAGGAACCCTCGAAACATGAGGCCAGTACGGCCTCATCTGGCGGCGACAGAACGCGTGGCTTCCGTAGAGAACGGGGCTCGTCGTCTTGCCCTTCCTCGAAGCTGGTGCCCCCTTTGTCCCCTCCCGTCGTTTCCCAATCGCGATAGTTCCTGGGAGTCGTTTCTGGACCGGCTGGTGGGAAGTCGCAGAGCGCCACGGATCCGCTGCAGCTCCAAGGATGACTGGCATCAGATGCAAGAACATATGGAAGTCTCACCCAGGGACCCGTGGTCTTGTAGCTTGTGGTCTCAGCAACGCAGCCTGGCGCTCAAGAGCGTTCTCGAAAGGGGGATATCTCGATCGAGGTACAACGGGTCACACAGTGGGCTGTCGATCACGAACGATATCGTTCTGGGAATGACGACTTCGCAACGAGAAAAACAACCACCTCCTATTGTTGCTTATGTTTATTCTCCGGCTATCATCCCTTCCCCTCCGCCTACTTCTCAACAACCACTTCCTCTTCCTTATCATAATCCTCTTCCATCTCCACATCCACCTCCTCCTCCTCCTTCTCCTGCTCCTCCTCTTCCTCATCTTTATCCTCGTCCGTTTCCACGTCCTCCTCACTATCCACGCGGCAAATGTCAGACACGAAGCACGAAGCACAGCCGCAGGTGGGCACCGTCTGGGGTGACGCGGGTGCGACGCCGGAGCGCCGGAGCGTCTGAAAATGAGGCCCGATCAGAACTCCTGCTCGATCTTGTTCCAATGCTCTGTTCTGGCAACATCTAATGTAGCATTGACACTCGTAGGTCCGGTACCCATTTGATTGATTCTCTGCGTGGCTTCGGACGTCGTCGGTCAATATAATTTTCGGGCGTCCCGGTTTTCGCTTTGCATGATAAGCCGGGTCGTGTTGCGGTGTCCACTGGATCACATGTCGGATCCATTATTGTTCGCTTGTTGTGCTCAGATTTCAAACCCATCTCCATTTCCTTTGCTTCACAATGGAAACCCAATATTTGATCCATGACCTCTCAATTACAGCCTTCGCGTCGTGAGTAGCACGCTTGATCCATTGTACCCATGGCTCCAGCGTTGTTTCGTCGTCGTGCATCGGTGGTGTGGTGGGCGTGTAGTCTGACGTCGTGCTGTCGTCTTCGTCCGTGTTGTCGTCGTCGTGCTAGTGGCTGCTGTCTTCTCGGTTGTCCATATGGGTCTGGGTCGAATGCGGTGCCGTGGTGCGTCTCGGTACTTGTACGATCATGCGAAGTATCTGCCTTTGCATTCGCCTCAGTCGGTTTTCTAGACTTCTGACGTGATGGTTCCGTTGAAGAGTCCTAGCGGGTCAGACCGTGAGTATGTATTCCCCGTTAGCTCATCTTTGCGTTCGTGGAACTTCCGCTATGCTGTCGCGACGCGGCTTTCCAACTCAGTAACCTGCGGCGTGCACTTTTGTAATTGTCGACCTAGATACTCCGTGCCGCCGCAGGGTGGTAGAATTTCGATACTCATGCCGAATCCGCGTACATAGTCTGGGACACGTCTGCCACGCGGTGGTCGGTGGCTGTTGAGCACAAGGTTTGTCCTGTGTCGGTGCAACTCCAAGCGCGCCTTGCCCGACCCTGTGATCAGGTCGGTGAGCATGTCTACGAAATGATTGCGTGACCCGGCGAATAGCACGATGTCGTCTGTGAAACGTAAGTTGGTGAGACGGCAATCCGCGTTTAGTTGGAGCTTGAAGCCGTAGTTCTTGGATGCTCATGTCGCGCTGGCGCGACTCAGAAGACTCTCTGATATGCAACTGAAAAGCAAGGAACTAAGGGGATGTCCCTGTTTCGTTCCTCGTAGGATGTCGAAAGGCCTGCTGCCAGTCTGTGCAAACTAACGCTGTCTGCTGCCCGAACAGCTTTGATAACACCTGTATGTATGGTCTGGGCGAATTAGATTCTGCCAGTGTCTCCACAGTGCTCACGTGCGCGATGCTGCCGGATGCTTTGTTGAAATCCACGGCGGCTGGCCACATTGGAATATGCCACTCGTCCGTGATCTCCTGCAGAATCGATGTCGTGAACAAGTGATCGGTCGTGCTTCGGCTGGGTAGGAATTCTGCTTGTCAGCGCGTTGTCGGCATTGAAGATACTGATGCATTCGTCGGGAGCGGCCAAGAGGGGGGTGTCCAAAAGGGGGGGGGTGCAAATCATGACCGGCGGCATGTGCGCGGCCCAGCGGGGGGGCCAGGGACGTAATGAAAAAAGCAGAGGCGCCATGAAATCTGAGGAAATATCATGGCCCCCGCCATGATATCCACCCCCCCTAGTCATCACCTCCCTCTTTGCCGCCCCCGAAATCGGTGACAGAGGAGCCGCGAGACGAGATTGCATAGCCACGGGATGCTCGCAATTGGTCTGCAATTCTTCGGCTGTGCTGGATCCCCGCCTGCGTGTGGAAACTTGATGGCAGCGTGCCGCCAGCTCGCAGGTGCAGGGGAGCCAAATTAGCTGATGCTGGTGCACATGTCGAGGACAACGGATTCAAGCACTGATCCTCCCGATTTCAACGTCTCAGCTGCTGTCGCAGAAGAGTCGACGACTCTGTTTGACCGTAATTGCCCGAGTGCTGTTTCAAGTCCATTGCTCGTGAATGGTGGGATTGCGTCTGGTTTTACGTCGTGCTCTTGCTGGTGGTCGCTTGGGCTGTGTGTGGGGTGGGCGTCTCTGTAGAGGTCTTCGTAGAATGTCTCGAACATGCAAGTTCTCGGTCGTGTTGTGCGTTACCATGCTAGACTGTCATACTAGTGATGAGCGTGCGCCCTTGTGATGCTCGTCGCCCCGCTGATCCGCTTGAGGTCCTTGTAATGCGACAGGATGCCTGCTGCTGTTGCCGTGCGAGTCGGTCTCTTGATCGCTCGGATCTCTCCGCGTATGTCTTTGTTGAGCTGGCTGCTTGCTGTTGTCTCGTGGTGCGGTGTGTCCCGCCGTCGTTGGAGTAGCCACTTCAGGGTGTCGATGGCTGGGCGGTTGCTGCGCTGACGTTCGGCAGTCGCAGGTTGGAGTTCTGATAACACATATGTGATTGATTCTTCAATTCCTCCATATTGCTAATGCATCGCCATCGTGTCTAACAAGAATGTCGAGATTGTCGAAAAGTGTGCATGGTCCTGCGTTGCATCCGTGGGTGGCCATGCTAGTCGTGGATGTTGTGGGCGCTGTTGTCGTCGTGATGCTGTCGTTGCCGGGCGCTTGTCCGTACTGAAAGCGCACGATAGTTTCAAAGCGCGGTGGCCTGAACCCATATCGACATCACGGTGGACTCGCAGTCGTTCACCGTCCTCCGAAGCCGTTTGTTGACAATGAAATAATTCATCTGCTACTTTTCCTGAACGGTGACGTGCCTGCAATAAACTTGTCGTGTTGCTTACAGAAGAAAGAGATAAACGTGTTAGCGAGGCGTAGTCGTTGGTTGTCAGTCTGCTGCTTGAGCCACTGCCCTCTTCTATCGTTAATGGGACCTGACACATGTTGTCCCAGCAAGTGTCGTGAATTTTCTGGTGCTCTATGTCCAGCGCGGGCGTTGAAGTCTGCACCGACTACTGCCATCATAAGAGCTGCATGTGTTTCTTGGCATACTTGTGATGATACGTCATACATCGTTTGGACGTGCTTGTCGCCACACCCGCTGTGAGGAAAATACGGACTGGTGATTCGCAGTCTAAGATGCCCTCGCTTGATGTCGACATAAGCGATTATTTCGTTCACGGGTGTAAAGGAAACAATATGGTTAACCCATTTCTTATGTACGACGATGTCTACTCCACGCTGGTGGTCGGTGCACCCAGATGACATTGCACAAAAACATGTCCTCAGTGTGTTTCCAACAACTCTTGCCCCTCTGTCCTCCATGTTTCGTTTAATGTAATCGCCTGCCACTCCGATCCGTTGAGCTCGTGGTAAAGTTCTGTGAGCCTGTCGTCGAAGACAACCCGCGAACGTTATGATATATTACAAAAGTGTGCTTGTCTGTGGCTGTATCCGCAGTTTGCTTCCCAGCCATAGGGGTGCCCAGGTGCCACTGCTGGATCACGATGCCCTCGGAGCTGGAAATCTGTCCCTTGCGGCTGATCATCTAGGTCGATGGATGGATGTCGAACGCCAGTGGTGGAAGATTATATGTCGACAGCTGGTGGTGAGTGCTGGGTGTCGGAGGCTGTATATTGGAGGTGGGTCAGGCAAAGTTGAACGTCGATAGGTGGAGGTCGAAAGCTGGAGGTGGATAATTGGATGTCGACAGCTGACGTGCATGATGGGAATCGCAAGCTGGACGTTGGAGGCGGTCAGGTGAGGCTGGGGGTCCATGGGTGAAGGTTGATGGGTGGTGGTCGAAGGAATTAGTGTCTGCATTGAAACATGCTGGGCTTCGGAGCTGGTCTGGCTGGAGTCGGATCTCGCGCGCCGCTGCTGGAGAATGCAGTGTGGAACGTCGCCGGCCAAGCATGTGCTGGCTTCTGGGAGCGAACATGTCTAGCAGCGACATGCGATAGCGAGGCTGGGGCTGATGGGGCACTCTGGCAATGGACAGGTGATGAAAACCGAATGTAGAGACATTAAGAAGAGAGGGAGTGAGCTCACCAGTAAGACGAGGCTTATGAGGGGGAGGACTCTGGAGAAGAGGGAAGGGAAGGACGAGGAGAAATTTCTGCAGAAAGGACGAGGAGGAGGCGGAGGAGCACGGCGAGGAGGGAAGAGGGAAACAGGCCAAGGATGAAGGAGGAAGGACGAGGCAGGAGGGAGGAGCCAGGAGGGAGGAGCGAGCAGAAAGGAGCGAGGAGCGAGGACGGAGGAGCGAGGACTGAGGAGGGAGGAGCGAGGAGGGGGGTGGGAGGTGATAGGAGAAGCTCTAGAATCCCAAGGCCCCTGCGGGTCCAGCTCTCTCCGCCAGCCGCGCAGGAAGCTGCCGTTCCCGCGGAGTCTCAGCGCGTGGCAGAAGCGCGCCTCGGGGGACGAGTGTTCGCCGCCACCAGCTTGTGCCCGCACGGGGTGGAGGGGGTCTGCGCGGCAGGCCGAGGGAGCCCCGACTTCCGGGCGTCGTGCAAAAAAACACGACGGCCCGTTTGGCTGCCCACGGAGGAGGAGGAGGAGGAGGAGGAGGAGGACGTCGGTCCCTCGACCCTCACGGCGGCGGAGGAGGAGGAGGAGGAGGAGGATCGATCTGGCTCGAAGAATGCGCCACAAGCGCGTCGGGCCCAAGGCGGCGGTCCGTGCTCTCGGGCGCCGCGCCTGTCTCGCCGCGTCGGATCTCTCCGGGGCGGCAGCGAGCGGGGCAAGGGGGGCCCGAGAACGTCACGAACGCTGCGGTACAATCCCTCGCCCCAGGCTTTTTTTCCCAGCAGGCAACATACAGGGCAGTTTTTAATACATGGGATTTAAAATTAGCCTGGCGAAGGACCCAACCATATGCAGCTGCGAGTACCGCGCGGATATGAGACGAAGGAGGGGGCACGCAAACTAGGCCCCTCTTCTCATAGGCACAGGGCAGCGCGGGCAGGAGGTGGCGGGCGGAGGAGGAGAGCTCACTGGGGCGAGCCAACACATCAGTATCATCATCGCATCATGAGACCTGTTACTGGGCACGCAGGAAGAGGTGGCGGAAACACCGTGTAGATGTCGAAGGCAGGTCAGCAGCGGCAGAGACGAGACCGGGGGGGCCCGCGGTCAAGAAGCAAAAGGAAGCAAGAGGAGCGAGAGACGAGGGGTGACATTTTTGCCTCCGGGCCGATAGCGAGCCACGCAGAGTGCACTGCGCAGGCGGAGCGTCAGCTACAGGAGGCTCATAACCCGCTCGGATGGACGAGCGTGCCCGCGCCAAGCGTGGAACCCAAATTCCAAGAGATTTCAGAAAGCCCCCCGACAATCATGAAACACATTGCGTAGCGGGAGCGATGAAGCACGAGCCCCGAAGAGTTCAGCGCTACTGACACGAGCACCGGAGGGTTCAGCGCCGAGTGTATTCCGCGCACGAATGGTGTTCTGGGAACAGGAAAGAACACGAAGTGGCCTACAGGTGGCTCCGGACACTGAAAATGTAACCCGGGAATGGTGGTCTGGGAACACGAAGAACACGAACTGCATGGACTCATAGAGAACAAAATTACAAGGTACGGGTGACGCACTTCATATACTGGGGACGCCCTGAGTTGGAAGCAGAAGGGTCAAACCTGATGCTCTGCCCGTGGATTTGGACCGTGAGATGGAGTGGCAGGGCCCTCAGAAGCGACTTCCACAGCCCATTCTCCACGGATTACCCAACGGTTCCAGCCACCCGATAGCCACCCAGACGTGCCAACGCATGTGTCACCAGAGTCTCAAGCTCCCCCCGACCTTCGGTGGAGATCCCTATGGGGCCACGAAACGTGTGAGGGGTGTGCCGAAATGGGTGTTGGGGAGTGCCGAAATGGGTGGTGGGGAGGCATGCGAACCCTGCCACTGGGGCCTTCGGTGGAGCTCCCTATGGGGCCACGAAACGTGTGAGGGGTGTGCCGAAATGGGTGGTGGGGAGGCATGCGGACCCTGCCACTGGGGCCTTCGGTGGAGCTCCCTATGGGGCCACGAAACGTGTGAGGGGTGTGCCGAGATGGGTGGTGGGGAGGCATGCGAACCCTGCCACTGGGGCCTTCGGTGGAGCTCCCTATGGGGCCACGAAACGTGTGAGGGGTGTGCCGAAATGGGTGGTGGGGAGGCATGCGGACCCTGCCACTGGGGCCTTCGGTGGAGCTCCCTATGGGGCCACGAAACGTGTGAGGGGTGTGCCGAAATGGGTGGTGGGGAGGCATGCGGACCCTGCCACTGGGGCCTTCGGTGGAGCTCCCTATGGGGCCACGAAACGTGTAAGGGGTGTGCCGAAATGGGCGTGGGTGACGATGACGATGATGATAATGATGATAATGATCATGATGATGATGATGATGATGATGATGATGATGATGATGATGATGATGATGATGATGATGATGATGATGACGACGACGACGACGACGACGACGACGACGATGATGATGATGATGATGATGATGACGATGGGAAGAGGGAGGAGGGGGAGGAGGAGGAGGAGGAGAGGAACGCGGGGCACCGTCTCTTCAAAACGAGGACCCAACACCACTGGATGGTTGGGAAATATAGGATTTTTTATACATGATCAACTTATGAATAAATCTATGCATGAACTCACCCTTGTTTTTAATACTACATCCCTGCGTTTTTCATACATGATCCGCACGCGGAGCATGTATTAAAAACGGCACTGTACGCAGATGTTCCCCGTCGCCTCGGCGAGCGACCACAGCGCTTTGCGGAGGCCGCGCGCGCCGGCCACGCGATCAGAGCCTGGTCGGGCTCGAATGAGGACAATCCAGCAGCGTTGCCACGCATTCGGGACCCATCATGTCTGGAAGGGCCCAGGCTGGAAATCCTGTCGAGTGGTGCTGCCCGCGCAGCTTGTCTACGCGATCGCAGCATACCGAACAGCATGTGCCCACGGCATGCTGGGGAGCAACATTCCAGACTGGCGCCTGGCAAGAACGTTGAGTTCAAAGTGATGTCAGCAGTGCGCGTGCGACAACCATGAACTCAAAGACCTACCGCACTTCACCCGTAGAACTGTTAGAGACTTTACCCCTTGGCATCAGAGGAGCAAGAAATCTCTCAAACAGCATTGTAAAACTGACAGCTAACCAGCCCTGTCGTGCAGCTGTGTGAAATTCGAGTTGTTGCACTGCGTACCGTAAGAACATGTCAACAAAAGCGAATGAGTGTTTAAAGACGGACCGCCCTCCATCGGTGTAGCTGTTGGACATGTTGAACGAGGTAATCGTAACACGTGATACCATCTCCCGAGGGCTTGTGGCTGATACCGTAGACCCGCCCTCCATACGTGTAGCTGTTGGACAAGTTTGAGCTCCAGAGCCGCACACAATGCAGAAGTCTCAAGCGAGCCTCGGGCTTTGAACCCGGACCACTCTCCGTCCGCGCGGTTGCGAGGTTGATACGTCAGGTTGCGACCGGGAATGAGGCCGGAGCGCGACCGTTCAAGGCCCGCGGCGAGCGAGGGGGGAAGTGAGAAGGAGAAGGCCTTCTGAGAAGGCGGCGGGACTTCTCAGAAGCCCTCGCGCCTTCCGAGTGGTCTGCTGCGTCTTCGGGGAGGGCCGAGAAAGCTTCTCAGACGACCAGGGACTTCCGAGCCTTCTGCGAAGGCTCGCCCCCTCTCACCTCCCCCGGGCTCGCCGCTGATCCAAGTCACATGCCCTCCACCCACACAGCTGCTGAACAGGGCTGGACCTACACGCTGTTTCTCGTTTGGGTTTCGTTTGGTTGTTCGCGTTGATCAACCTGTTTTCCTGTACCACCCTGCCAGAACGAGAAACAAAACACAGCTGAAGTCCAGCAAAGCAGCTTTTGGGTCCACCCCTGCTGCTGAATGCGTGCGTTAAGCTTCAGCCTGTAGAGCTGTGGGGGCGTCTCGGGCGGAACGCCCGCTCTGCAGCCACACGCCTGCTGGTGCGACGAGGAGGGTTCGGATACACAGGTGCGTGCCCATCGTGATGACAGGAGGGGGCAACTCCACAAACCCTGTCGGCGTGTGGGAGGCGCTGTCGTCTTCGTCGTCGCCCCGAGCTAAAACGCACGTTCCAGGAAATTTACAACAGTCCTATTTCACTCCAACGAAATCCCTTCCTTTTGATTCCTTCCCCGCCAGGATTTGGGGGAGTCACAAGTCAAAACACCGTCCCTCTAGGGGAGTCTGGGGGGGGGCCACTTGTGGACAGAGGGAAGTCGAGCTCCCCTCCCCTGGTTCCCCTCTGACAGGGGGGCAAGATTGGATTCCTCCCTGTGGACACGGAGAACTGAAGCCCACCCCTATCTTTCCCCCCGGTCCCCCCTTTGAACAGGGGGGACAGGGGGGTGGTACGCCCTGTGGACAGGGGGAACTCTGGACCCCCGTCCCTCCCCCCCTCCCCCTGTGGACAAGGGGGGGCGGGGGCGGGGGTTGGAGGGAGGGGTGGGGGGAGGGATCCCAAGTCAGAGTTCTGTCCCCCCCGGGGGGGTCCCCAGGCATGGTCCTCCAGGTGGACAGGGGGAAGTCAAGCCCCCCCCGTCCCTCACCTGGTTCCCCCTGTGAACAAAAAGGACAGAATGGCGGCCGGGACCCGATGCCAGCCCACAAGGGCTCCAACAGCGGTCCACATGCAATTCCTCCTGCTCCTCCTCCGTTTTCATTCTCTTCTTCTACTACTCCTGCTGCGACTTCTACTAACAATTCTACTACTACTACTACTACTACTACTACTACTACTACTACTACTACTACTACTACTACTACTACTACTACTAATACTACTACTACTACTACTACTACTACTACTACTACTACTACTACTACTACTACTACTACTACTACTACTACTACTACTACTACTACTAATACTACGACTACGACAACGACTACGACTACGACTACTACTACTACTACTACTACTACTACTACTACTACTACTACGACTACGACTACGACTACCACTACTACGACTACGACTACGACTACGACTACGACTACGACTACGACTACGACTACGACTACGACTACGA